TCCTACAAGGATTAAGGCAGATCATAGGAAAGAAGAATAATAGTTTTCCTTACTGCAGTTTTTCAAGGCCATGGCCTTATTTTATCGAAAAGTCCATTTCCGGGGTACACTAAAAAAATTCTATATTTTAATCTATTTACTTGCATGTAAATTGATATAAATATGTATTTAAAAACTCAGCTTTTATTAATTTTTTTTTTTTTAATCATGCGTTCACATATTTACCTCTCGCCACCAGAAAATTATCTGTTGAAGAGACAAAGAGAAAATTATATCAGAAGTTACGGTATAGTGTAAATAACAAAAAAAAAAGATGCGAAACACAGCTAAGTTTCAAATAAATACAGAGTCGCACTAAAAAAACAGCAACGATAATTACAAAAGCCGTGTATGCAGCTTGTTTTAAGCAGATAGTAGCGTAAAGAAACATTTATTGGTTTGCAACATGCTATTACATTGTACATTAACAAGTACATACACATGTAGTATATGATGCATATGTATTAGGGTGAGCTAAAATAACTAACCTAACAAATTTATCACGTTAAAGGGACCTATTTACTGAGAATAAAATTCTCCCATTTGAAAAACTGCTTATTAAAATTGTAAAGTGTGTCGGTGAACAATTGAAGTTTTCCATGTGAACAACATGTAAAAAAATTTGTTTTCATTAAAAATGTTATAACTATTGAACCGTTTGAAATAAAAATTTATTGTAGGGCAATAAATTCTCTAAAAAATTTTTGTCTAGTCTCCAAAAAGTATATACTTACGGGCTATGAAAGTCGAAAAAAGCAGAAATATGCAGTATTAGGGCTTTGTGATTGGAAATATTCATGCTAAATGAAAAAAATTACCCTAAAATAATACAAAACGTGTAGAAAACGCTATACCTCGCGCAGCAATACCATTAATACATTTAATGGTCTTAATTGTCTCTGAGACAACTAACTTCAGGGCAATTTTTTAGAGACTTCAATGCGCTACAGGAATATGCCCAGAAAAAATGTTTTTTTCAAACGGTTCAATAGTTATAATTAGGGCTCGGAATCTCATGTAAATGCATGTTTTTATTGGGCATCTTCAAATGGTAATGGTTAAGTTATCTTTTCCCCAAGTATTCATCTGAATATCTTCTACCTCCGTTAGATCTCAACTGGTGCAGGACTGTAGGAGACAGCTGGCCTATATCTCGGATCAATACGAAATTATCCTAATATGGGCCCCGGAACATAGGGACATTTACGGAAACGAGGCAGCGGACGAGTTAGTAAGGTGCTGCTCGGCACTGAAGGTCTCCCACGCAAAAATTATCGAAATTTATCGCTTGAAGGCCAAGTAGAGGAGGAACCGTACAGGATCGTACAGGTAACCCGGCAGATCTGGGTGTGCCACGACCCACTTAAAACCGAAGCTTACCAAACTTACTGCAGTGTACCCTCCCATGCCGAAAGGATAGAAGTGCCCTTCAACAGATCTGTCGCATTTGCAATGAGCCTGGTTAAACCAACCAAACATTCATCTGAACTACTATGAAACTGTCAATGTTTCTATTTACACAAGAAACTTAAATATGTATTTTATTTTGAAGTAAATAATTTTTGTTATTCTCTTTTTAAAATACATGTGTTAGTAATTTTTGTGCCGGCAATAAAATAGTAGAAAATTGTTTTTAATTGCATATTTTACTTGTTTATGGCGCATATACTCGATATTTTAGTGCATGAAATTCCGAGACCTTCTTATAACATTCTTAATGAATCCAAATTTTTTACATGTTATTTACGTGCAATATTGCAAATGCCTACCGACAGCTTTTAAAATTGGAATACAAATTTTTCCAAATGGGAGAAATTTCTTCGCAGTAAATAGGTCCTTTTAAGGCCATACATTTTTTTTTTGGATCACCCTATGTGTGTGTGTATGTAAGTAACCAAAAGCATACAAATCTGGCACAAGATAATTCGACAAAGTAGCAGGATTTGGGAAATAATTGATAAGTACGTACGATCAAGACAAGTGCGCAGATAATGGTCTCATCGGCTTCGAAATCATGTTCTGGCCGGCCCAGATATTGGAGTTAACAACAGCAAACTGAGCATTACGAACTTCTCTGGCCAGGCAGGTGTTTCATTTGGGACGTTGTATTTGTGTGGACAATTTTGCCGATTTAGGTCATTTTGGTGTTTGGCTGTTTATCGAAAACGACATTTGCAATGGATACGAACAAAGTCTACTTAATGTTCTGTAACGCATCAGCAAAATTTATAACATTGCAACGTACTTTAAAACGCAAAAAAAAACGTAAAGTTGTCGTTCACATTGAACTGTACAGCGAGTTTTATTAGCTCAGTTATGCAGAAGCAGTGGTTGCATTGTTCAAATTTGCATTCAACTTTTAGTTGCACGGCCTTTCAACTAATCGCTTTCAACAAAGTTGGTAGCCAGCCAACATCCTTAGGGCCGGTTGTTCAATGTCCGGTTATCAGTACTTGCCGGGTAAACGTCATTATCGACGTTTTCGACATATGATCGATAAAGCAGTCGTTGTGTTTAACCGGAGCTACCCCGCTATGTCAATTTTTACGTAGAAATCAAAAACCAACTTACATATATATGTAATACTGTGAGTTTTCATAAAAAGTGGACTTAGAAACTGATCACTCTAAGCTAGCGATTAATACCGATGGTTTCGGACTCTATACATTAATGATACCCTACATGGAACTGCCTAGCGAAACCAAGTCCTTCTCCACCTGGACTTTGCAACGCAGTGGGGGCCTCACTCTTCCTCTGCTACTATCAGCGGGTTCCGAGTTGAATACTTTCGGAGCTTCTCCCGAAAACTAGGCCGCCCATCAGATGTTTCCATTGTCCATGTCTTTTTCAGTTCCAAGTACACAATCATATAATTTGTTTACACCTACGCAAAAACCGCATTAACAAAACCCGATTTAATAGCGCACTCGATGAAACTTTATTCAAAAGTTAACAAAATCTGTTGGTTTTATTCGACATTTGTTTAATAATAAATTTGCGCGTTGGACCGAAATGGAAGCGAATAGTAATACAAATTTATTGTAATTGTCTAAGATCTGACAAAGGCACGACCTTCACCCATCTGTTGAATGGATGAAATCTTTTTTCTATGACATTTAACGTGTTAATAAATATTTTGGGTTGGCTGAAAAAATCCTGGCCAGGATGTTTTTGATTAAATATTCAAAAACTAATATTATTTTTTTTTAATTCTGTACTCATTTGCTTAATAAACAAATAATATACCACTCGAAAGTATTAAGCCTATGGACTGTGAAAACGTTGGGTTGTCTATTTTTTTCCTGGCCTACCTACCGGGTTCGATTTTCGAACTTCGAAGGCCCATATCTCGATTTCGGAGGCTGACTTCAAAAAACGGAGAAATTACTTTTTTACCTATGACTCAATCTCTTAAAAAAATTGGTTTGGTCCAATCCCCAGCGGAGTGCTGTACAGTGTAATAATTCTAGTATCTTCATTTATGTATACATATTGTAACTATCCTTATATTATTATATCTTATAAAGGGAAGTGTCAAATTTGTTTATCTAAAACTAATAAAGTTTGAAGGACGAAATTCGAGGATGTGGTAGTTAACATATTAGGCATTGACATATATTATTTTCAAAAATAAATATTGGAAATTTCCAACGATATTCAAGGATAAAGTTTTAAAAGGACATTTTCAATACTTATTCGTCCTGGTGCACCCAAAAAATTTAATTTTTTTTTTCTATTCTACAGAATTTTTCCTTTTAATTGATACCCATATTTTTACTCTATGCACAATGCTCCGCATCTCTTGAATAATTTTTTTATTCAATCATATTCTAGAAATTTCAAAGTCCTTTTAAAAAAATCCTGACGTCAGAGACAAAAACTAAAAACGCAGTTTTACTATATTTGGTCCCCAGTTTTGTAAATTTATTGATTTTTTCATGTGTAAAATTGACTGTCACACGGTGTAATACATAATAGATCGGCGCTTACACATATTTACATATCGAGCCCTAACCGCCAAAATAACGTGACATTTTTTTCAAAATTTTCTTTTTGATGCAGAAATATTCCTAGAGCATCAAGATGCATTTCTGCATCAAAAATAAAATTTTGAAAAAAATGTCACTTACGTTATTTTGGCGCTTACACATATTTACATATGTATCGGAGCTCCTCCTCCGATTAGCGGCGTGTCCCTTGATTTTGTAACACAAAGGGAGGGGCCTACAGTTATACGCCGATTATATATTTCCAATTCAATGCCAACTAAAATCAGTATTTCGATTGATTTAAGTAAATCAGAATTTGTGCGTCATTTTTGTAGGTGAGATGCTAAATCGGCAAATTGTCAGTTTTTGGATCATAAATTATGAGTAACGTAAGTAACGTGAAGATGACAGAAATATTCGAAATCATGAGGAAATTCAAGGTACATAAATGCAATTACTTTTATAATTCATTGTAATGTAGATAGAATTACTTTTATTTAGGCTTCGAAAGTGGGGAGGGGTTTTATGTACAAAATTATAACTTTGCTCTGTACATTCAGAGTGTTTAAATCGGTAGCAATTATGTATGTAACAATTCTCAGAAGAAGGCGATTGTTTTTTTTTTTTTTTAACTGAGATAATGTTATACAACAAATCTTGCAACAAAGTCACTCGGAATTCAATTTACATACCTGCGGAAGCTGTTGGCTGCGACATTCGTCCTATTCAGAAACACTCATTCGAAACACTCACTCAAACGCAATGTAGAGTTTGAGAGTTGAGTGAAAGTGTTTGTTTTGATTTTTGGAGCGAAAATTTTGCATAGCATTTGGAGAAATCATATAGTTGTAATATATACAGGAATGTTTAGTATAAAATGCCAACGCTTCTATGGTCGACATCATTTAACTTTCGCCCCTTGCAGTGCTGTCATAAAGACGTTGTCTAAAGCAAAGGCCCAAGAGTTCAAAAATGGCGCAACTACATTCTTCGTATTCCATTCGATGCCTACTGGCCGACACAGATGTGTTCAACAAATATACTGTCAAATTTATTCTTGGAAAAGATCTCGTTAAAGAACGTTCTAGCAAAGCAACAAGCACCCCCTCGAATCGCCGCTACTTAGAAGGCACCAACTCATCGCCAATATGTGAAGGTATCACTTACAGAGCGGCCATCGCAATGGCCATTCGTAGCAGTCCGGGAAAATGCTTGCCGCTAAGAGCAATTTACCGTTGGATTGAAGGTAACTATCCGCATTTCTCCAGAAATAACGAAAACTGGAAGGACACAGTGCGCTACAATCTAAGTCATAATAAAATATTCGTGCGCGTTCCGAGGCCTGCAAACGATCCAGGTCGTGGAAATTATTGGACAATCGATACCATCGCTGAGGATGTGCAAACTAAAAATCAAATAAGAAAGCGGACGCTGAAGAATAAAATACAGCTATATCATCCATATGAACGCACCGAGTGCCCCGCGGGTGCAGCATATCCGGACGCCTGTGCGGCCTCCGTCAAGCAGTTTGAGAAATGCCCTCCAAAGCCCGTGCAACAAGAATACGCCTACCAAGCGTGGAATATTTTCACACATTGGCAATATCAATAGTAGTAGTAGTAGTTTAAAAATTTGTAAAACACCGAATTTAGTGATTTTTTTTTTAAACCAAGTATATGTATGTAGGCACTTTATATTTACGCAATTCTGTATTTATTTTTCTCATGCTTGGAAACATGGCTATTATTACACGCTAGAAACTAAGTTAGCTTAAATATTTGTTTAAATATAAGTTATGTATGTATGTATGTATGTACGTATTTGTATGTAATTATAATGCAAAAGTAACGTTCCAAATAAATATTTACGATAAAGTACCAGGTTGCTGTTTTATTATGACCCCAAAAAAATGTTCATCAAGTCAACAGTCTTGCAGAATTGATTTGAATTGAGACGACCAATGATATTGCAAAAGTAAACACTTTAGGACTTTCGTTGATTTGCGTGGCGTAGGGATGAGAGAAGGGAGTCGCCGCCTCGCGTGCGTTGGGTTGTCGGCCGCGAAATTACCTTAGTGGTTTATTAAGATAAAAAAATAATACTTACAAACTATTTTTCGTAACAAATTCGTACTAACAATATAACTATTTAATTAAAAATGAAAATCAACATAATTTCAATCAAAAACAGAAAATTTTGGCTTTACTTTGGTATTGTAGTTCCAACCACCAAGGAAAATCTGACGATCTTTCGAAACAGGTTCAAGCAATATTTAAAAATAATGAACCCCTAGTTCTAATTACATTCAAAAATTACGAAACAAATAGTTTGTAGAGAGATATTATTGTAAACCCCCAAATCAGGCAAAGGTGCAATACTCGTACCAATTATCATTCTACCTATAATGCAAAATAAAAAGTTAATTTGGACTCCGGACGCCGGTACATAGAGTTGTGTTGAGTTGAGTTGCAAGCTTGCGAGTTTGGCAACGAATGACTTTGCGCCGCTAACTACCTGTGGATGCAGACAAAGCATTTCAGCAAGCATTGCGCAATGGTTTACTTCACAAACTAAAAGCACTCCCTCTCGACTATTATTTGCTCCAACAAAGCTATACATATATAGTAAGCCGCCTCTTCTACAAGTTACAAACACAAAAACAGTATCTCTCAACTGTTCAGTACAGTATTTTTTGAAACAGCACAGTATTTTGATATGTCTAAGAAACAGTGTTGCTAACTTTTGATTTTCAAAAAGCACCAAGAACTTGGAAAAGGCGTTTTACTACACTAAAAGCACTAAACTTTTTTTAATCAAAGGAGACTTTTTTCATAACAGTTTGTATTTAACAAAAGTAAAAAATTAACAATATTTACAAGTATACATAGCAGAGAAATGAGCAAACAAGTTGATGTTTTCATAATATAACCTCAAATATCGCGTTTTTGGCACTTTGAGGTTAGGATATCTAAAAATTATAGTGCTAGAGCACTTGTCTGGCCACATTTAGATGCAGCACCAAGAAACGATGTGTTTTACTCAGGTGGTAAAACAAAACACAAAACTTGTATAAATAATTAGAAAAGAAAAAAGAAATACTTCACTTACCTGCGTACTAGCATTTTCAACGCGACTAGATTTTAACAAGGTGAGTTTCCAACTTCAGCTTTTTATCATTCATGGAGGTATTTTGGGGCATTTAAATTTGTAGATTCCTGTAAATTCAGTGCTGCCATAGCTTTATATATTTCATATTCTTTCAGGTTTTAACTATGTCGGAGAAGTTTTAGTTCAGAAAAAAGCACTTAAAAAGCACTAAAAAAGCACTAGGCATTAAATAATTTTTTTTTTGGCATTTCAATTGTCAAAAAGCACTAAATATAGTGCTTAAAGCAGCAAATTTCTCACCTTGTACAAAAATTAAAAAAATCAAAGCAGGTTGCACAAAAACAATTATTATCATGACGCCAAGGCCAGAGCGCTAATGCTTTCGTTTATAGCGATCAATATTCGTTGCAGTGTTTGCAAGGCATTGATTTGCTGCGCAAGTTCTGCTCCTGCAATCGTAATTAATTTCTCCTTTCAATTCTACGGTTATTGTGATTTATGTGATCGGCATCGTCTGATATTCTTGACTGCATTATTATTATTCTTTTTTTTATATTTCAATATCGATATTAGCATTGATGTATTAACTGATTGCTTTTGTTATAAGTTTTCATCACATCGAAAGCATTTGCAGCGGATGTACTAGTGCAGGGCTGGCAAACCTAGGGCATGCGTGCCATTGATGGCACGCAACCTACTTAATAATTTGGGCATGGTATTAATTGAGGAGACTCAATTCCTGACCCTACCCAATCGACACAATTTCTTTTTTTCGTTTAAATTGGAGATCAAAGCAAGATCATCTCACACCCAGGAAAACAGGCCAGAAGAGCCAAAAATGCAGACAGTAGCGAACAAAATCCACATAATTCGACATTCGATTCTTGAGTTCTATTGCATCAATAAATTCATCAGTTCTCAAAAATAATGAACCTCATTTCTTCGCAGGCATTAAATAGACGTGGCTGGCAAAATTGGTGGTTTTTACGGATATGCGCCAGCATTTCAATGATTTGAACTTAAAGCGTAACGTAATTATGATGCATAGATCTCTTTCGCGCTTTTTAGGCTAAACTGAAATTTATTGGTAAAGATATTGAGGCATACTCATAGTCGAAATAAAGTCGACTCTAAATTTAGTAGGAGATTTTTTGGCAAATATTACATTGATAATTATGTCAAAAAGCTGCAACTGACTTCAATGTCGTCTTCATTTTGACAATGAATATGCCCCATTGTTGCCAAAAATTGCAAAAGTTTCCCAAACTCAACAAATTTAGAATCAGATATGAATTTAGATGAAAAATCAGACAGATCTAGGTCACTGAAGAGTTTTCTTTGATAATAAATTCTCTCATCGACGAATCTTCATCGAGGTTTTCTGAATTCAAGAAATTATCGGAAACACTCAAATTTATTGTGTATCCTGATGTGACTTTACTTGATAAACTGAACTTGTTTGAATTTGCTAATACTAAAATTTTGGAAACTTGGAATTTAATTCGAGACATATTAGATGTCTGTAGAAGCTGGCGTTTAAACACAAGGTACATAGAGACATTTAAGAGACGCTTAATTCGTTTATTTTTTTTATTTTTTCACGTTTAACGTGCCAAGCAATGCCCCCAAGAACGATGATAAGGCAGGACTTTATTTGGCACGTCATGGCTACACTGAGAAAAGAGTTTAGTTACATCAACTAAATATGTTTTTCTCAACACATGATTTGGTTATAGTTACATTATTTGTTTATAGTTACCAAATCATGTGTTGAGAGAAATATATTTGCCTGACTTTTTTCTGAGTGTACATTGAATAATTCTTTAGAAATAATGGCACGTGCACATACATATGTATAAAGGTTCGCCGGGGTACAGGGGTACTAGTACGTTTCAGATAGCTGTGCGAACTATTGAATCATAATTTGATGCAGCTTACATATACAATGACTTACCGATAATCTGAAAAGAAAAAAAAGAAATCAGGACTAAATTTAAAAAAAAATTAGTTTCGGGTACCCCGCCAAGCGACTCACATGTTTATATGCATTTTCAAGTTTATCCAAATCCAAATGAGTAACTTGAAACATGCATTTTTTATACTGAAATTGAATGGCCATAAACCGGCTAACCCAATATATTTTTTTTTTAAATTTGTTGAATTTTAAATTTGAACCTTTGGTTTAGATGGTTTATGTTACTGAATGACCTATATTTTTATAAAAAAATATTACAAAGATTCTAAAATTCGGATTAACTTTAAAATATTAACATCTGAGTCTGCCCCTACCTGGCTACACCAATTATCTGAGTATTGTTTCCAATCGCTTGGCGGGGTACTGTACATGTTGGTATGTATACAAGCCTCAAGCATCTACATTTAGAATGTTTGTATGTAAACATTTAGAATGTAAAGTGGCATTTTTGTCGAAATGGCAACGTTGCGATTTTTTTTTAAATGCCGCACATATCTAAGTGAAAAGAAATGTTTTTACAATTATATTTCGAAGCAGCCTTAACTAGTCTACTTTTCTTTAAAGTATTCGAGGACAATAGAAAACAAAAAATGAATGTGCTTCGCGACCTTCATTGCAAGCTAAAATAAAATGGCAGTGTCGCGGTTTTGTCGCAAGGAAGTCCTCATACAAAAGTAATCCGCAACAACTTTGCGACGATGTTAAGTTCGAAAAGCACATGCATATACAATCTAAGTCATACTAGTTGCCCATATTGCTAGGACTATGATAATTCGCCTTAGTTTTTAAATGAAAAAAAAAATAGAATATATAATATATTTTTTTTTTTATTTTGTGTCCACGCATCTGGCATTTGATCCCTTTGCGACACGCCTTAACCGACTCCAATCGGGACCAAAATTTATACGCGTGATATCTGTGACCGTGGTATTAACGATCGAGTGGGTGAGACTGAAAAAATTCGTTCATTTGATTTTTTAAGGACCACCCTAATGTACATATACAAATGAAAGGATAAACTATTGAAGGTTATTCCCAAATTACCGCAAAGCTTAAAGTGAATTCGTTTTAGAGTTACCTATTCAAAGGAAATTTACTGTGACACCAAAACACTTGCAGGCGATTTCGTGGTAGTGCAAAAGACGTGGTGGGCAGGAATTCCCCATATTTCAAGTTGTATCGATTGTGACATAAGCAGCTGTAATCCTCTAGGTGAGAGCAGGGTATAACATATACATATATGTATGTAAGTCTGCTTTGAGAGATAAGTATTTTGGCAGCACAATTATCCGAGTGAATTTCCACAGACCCCATTTGATTTTATGTCCGTAAGTACTACGGCATAAATGGAACGCTGCTATTCTATAATTCACTCAGTATCTTTCGCCGCGCCATTTTTCTACCTGCTCTACCAGACAAACGGGCGCTTCGGCAAGCATGCCTCGACGTGTGGTGGTTGTCTGTTCATTATTTTTGATTGTTCTTCGGCCGCTCAGAAGCTGTAATCCCTCAACTAACGCTATGTTTT